CGGGAGCGCGAGGATCGTGGGAGCCCCCCGCGGTGATGGACCGGAGCAGGGAGCGCGGCGATTGGCCGGGATGCCAGCGAGTGGGCGGGGCGGGGGCCGCGCGGGTCAGCGGGAGGCGGAGCGCGGCGGTAGGCGGGTCCCGCGGGGATGAGCAAGGAGGACTGCGCGGCGATTGGTGGGATGCAGCGGTGGGCGGGGCGGGGCGCGCAGAATGGCGGGAGACGGCGCGCGGCAGAGGGCGGGCGGTGGTGCGCGGAAAGGTAAGTGGGGTCTGGTGTTGCCCCAGCCGCGTGGGGCCGGAGGCTTGGGGCTTCTGGTGTCCACTCTTGGTGGCGGGTTAAGTTGTGTCTCGCGAGGACTGAGCAGCGTCTCTGCTGTACCCCCAAGACCTCCTCGGAGTGCCGGCCGGGGACTGGGGGCTGGGGCCGCGGGGTTCCTACGGAAACTGCAGCTTGGGTGCCATCCGCACTCAGCACTTTGAGGCGGAAAGTGAATTCAGATTCCGTCCCAGCCCAGAGCTGTTCGATAGGAACAGAATACAGGCCACGTAATAGCTGTGATAAAAGGGTTTAAAAAAAAAAGGGAGAAATCGGTTTTAGTGCCACATCTTATTCAACTCATTACGTGCAAACTATTAAAAATCCCAGCACGCATGCAAAGAAATGACAGCCACTCCTCGCACTGATCTGGGAACCTGCTGTGGATTTGATGCCTGCATCACATCTCGGTGGGGCTCTTGGCTGCTTCTGGAAAGTGGGCTCAGGTGCTGATACTTCTGCTCTCCTGAAGCTTTTGTTCTAGTCAGAGGAGGCAGACAGTAAACTTGAAATGTATTGTTTGTTGGAAGGTAATTGCCATGAAAAACAATAAACATTGGAGAAGCAGAAGTGCCAGGGGAGGGCTGCAGTTGCAGAAAGTGAGATTTGAGCAGACTTGAGGGAGAGAAGCCAGTGAGCCACACGTGTATGGGGGAGGAGCTGGCCTCCTGGTGGGGAGACAGGAGGACAGGACCAGTGGGGCAGATCTCATAGGCCACAGTAGGCACTTGGGGTTTTAGTCTATGAAATGCGGAACCTTTGGAGGGTTTTGAGCAGAGAAGTGCCTGATTCAGGTTTTACTTTATTTATAACATTTAATAATAGGCTAATTATCTTATGGTAATAATAAGGCTGGCCTCATGCCCTGAGGTGGGGCAGGTCCTGGGGAGCTGGATGGAAGCAGACGAGGAATTCTTTCTGGAGTGTGTGAAACTTAAGTCCGTGATGGTTGTCTAGGTGAAGGTGTGGAGTAGGCAGTGCATGCCTGAGACAGGTTTGGAGAGCTCCAGGTGGGAGAAGCATTTCCTAGCATCCCTCATCTCCATCTTTGGATGCAAGATACAGGGTGAGACATTGGTATCCAACACAGTCGATTTCTAGGTGCCGTTCTGACCGAAGTCTGGTGGGCACTACAAGTCCTCCCAGCGCCTGGTGGGTGCAGTGGAGACACACCAGGAACTCAGCTGCCTTTGAGGTGGGCCAGGGTTGCAGGAATGTGTTTGTGTTCTCCCAGGGACCACCTCCTCCTTGGCCTGGGCACTGCGGGCCTGACACATCCAGCACGGCCATGTTTGCTGAGCAGGCCGCCCAGAGGGCGCACACTCTGCTGTCCCCACCGTCAGCCAGCAACGCCACCTTTTCCCGGGTGCCCGTGGTGACTTACACCAACTCCTCGCAGCCCTTCCGGCTGGGGGAACGCAGCTTTAGCCGGCAGTATGCCCACATCTATGCCACCCGCCTCATCCAGATGAGGCCTTTCCTGGTGAGCCGGGCCCAGCAGCGGTGGGGTAAGTGACCAGCTTGGGGACGTGCTTCCGTGTTTGTTGGGCACAGATCTCCTGTCCCTTGGGGTCTTTGTCTTTCTAATCACATGGCCTGGGCAGCGCACATCTTTTTCTTTTTCCCCTTTTCTTCCGTGGTGATCTCTCCTGTTTGAAGTTATTCTTGGTGACCCCCATGACTTTCAACTTTTGGGTGATACTCCATTACCCCATTCTTAACTATTTGTGAGAATGGCTTGCCGTGTAGTTTTCAATTCAGCTGCGAGGTCTGTAAACTGAAATTTTGTGGGTGAGACCATGTCTTACTCATTTCTACTGCCCCCAGCACTAGGCTCACTGGGTCTCAGCCCAGGTTGTGCATCAGAACCGCTTGGAAACCTTTTGGGAAGCACCGGTGCTCAGGTCCATCCCTTCCCACCAGGTCCACTGGATGGACTCAGGTTTATTACAGGCGGCAGGAGAACACTAGCTAGGTGGTCGCATTGGAGATGTCTTCTGTTTTCTTTACTACAGGCCGGAGTGTTATTCACCTTCTCTCCATCACATAACAAGGGTCTCCTTCCTCTGGCTCCCAGTGGCCTTTTGTTCACTTTCCTTGAAACCCTCAGAGACACCAAGGTCAATGCCACCTTTTAGATTCTTGAGATTCATCTGCTCTGGTTCCACCAAAGCGTCTCAGTAACGGAAAACAGGCATTTTATTCTGTTCGCAGACTGGGATCAGGAGTTCAGACAGGGGCCCACAATGAATGGGGTCTTGGCTGGGTAACAGGCAGTGGGCAGCAGCGTTCACTGACCAGCCCAGGACACCTCCACGTCTGGCTTCTCCGTCTGGCGGGGCTTCCACATCAGAGCTCAGCCGTCTCAGAATTCGTTTCTCTTCACTCACGAGTTTCCTGAACACCTCCAGCCCTTTCTTGCCCTTGGCTTTCCCCGCACCTGGCACGCTTTTTCCCCAGGCCTCCTTCACGACCTCGACTTAAACGTCACGTGCTTCCCGAGGGGGCCTCGGCCACCAGGGCCTCCTCCATATCTCCTGCCTTGGCTCCCGTTTGTTCATGGCACTTGTCACAGCGGCAGACCCTCGGTCACTGCTGCCACCGCTCCCCCTGGACCGGAAGCCTCCGTGTTCACTCCCGGTGCTGGTGCCTGGCCTGGTGTCCACGCTCCGCCCAACGGACTGGTGTCCTGCCCTCCGCACAGGGGTGTGTGGTTCTGCCTGGTGCTCAGGCACACACTGGATCCCAGCTATGTCACCTTGGACATGTTACTTAGTCTCTCTGTGCCTCAGTTTCCTGAGCCATGTGGTCGGGTGATAATATGTGCAGTGGTGTGTTGTCGGGGGTACAGGAGTTCCGTGCGCCGGGCTCGACACAGCCACCTGGGGCCGAGTGAGAGCTCAGGAGACATCGGGGCTTTGGAATCTGTTATTTCTGTTGGTACCCGGCATTTCTGTCCAGTGCTGGTGCCCTCCTGATCTTGTTTTGAATTACTCCCCTCTACTTCCTCAGGGTTAGATCTGTGGAATGTTCTTGGTTATTCCAGGGCAGGAGGGGCTCATGCTGAGGTCAGCCGGGCTAAGGAAGGGGCTGGGCCTGAGTCCACATTATCCTTTCACCTCTGATAGCATTTTCTCCAGGCTTGGAGTCTGTACCAACAAACCCACAGGCCTTCTGGGACTTCACTCCTCCCTCCTCCCACCCGAGTGACCCCTGCATACCACGCCAGTCTTCCTTTCCCCCCTAGTGCTTCCCGCATGCTGTTCTCCGGGACCCCAGGCTGCCCAGCTCCACGGGGAGCAGGATGGGGTGGGTGGAGATATGAAGTTTGAATTTGGGGTATCTCTGTTTTCAGCAGACAAGCCGTTTGTGGGGCGGATGGAAAAATCCAAACTCTCAAAGGAATCTACTATTTTTAGGGCAGGGCTGGGTTGAGACTTGGCATACCTCTTTCTAAGAATCAGCGTTCTGATTTAGGTCTAAGTGAGGTAATCCTCTGCGTTGGTTTCCTGTGGCTGCTGTAATAAACAGCAAGCTACAAATTCGGTGACTTCAAACAACAGAAGTGTATTCTCTCTCACTCCTGGAGGCCGGAAGTCTGAGATCCCGGTGGCGAGAGGGCCGTGCTCCCTCCAGTCCTTCCCTGCCTCTTCCAGCCTCTGGCGGCTGCCCCATCATTGCTGGGCCACTGGTCACATCCCTCCAGTCTCTGCCCCGTCTTCACATGGCCTTCTCTGCACGTCTGCTTCTCTTGTGAGGATGCTTGGCATCCAGGGCCCAGCCACATCCAGAGTCCCTCTGTCCTCCTGGGACCAAGTGACCCTTTAGATCCAAGGGGTTCTTACATTTGACGTTTTCTCCCTCCTGATGGAGGCCAGGGCTCCGGGGCCACAGTGCATGCTGAAGGCTGTTCAGTGCTCCTTGCTGGGCTGGGAGGGCTGCCTGATCTCTGAACTCATGCCCCTTGTACCCCAGGCAGCGGAGTCCGAGTAAAGAAGCTGTGTGAGCTGCAGCCTGGGGAGAAGTGCTGTGTCGTGGGGACCCTCTTCAAGGCCATGCCGCTCCAGCCCTCCATCCTGCGGGAGATCAGTGAAGAGGTGAGGCTGGCCGGCTCACCAGGCCTTCCCCAGAACACTTCTCTGGGGGCACCGGTGGGGTCACCTGCCTTGGACCCAGGGAATCGGGGCTGGGCCTCTGCCCGCGGCGGGCGGGGGCTGCAGGGCCATACTGGAGCCTTGGTGGGCTCTGGCCCTAAGACCACTCCCATCTTCGAATTCCAGCACAACCTGCTCCCCCAGCCTCCTCGGAGTAAATACATCCACCCAGACGATGAACTGATATTGGAAGATGAATTGCAGCGGATCAAACTGGAGGGCACCATTGATGTGTCAAAGCTGGTCACAGGTGGGGGCGGGGGGTGGCCGAGCACCTGGGTGCTGGCACACCTGCATTCCTGGAGTGATTTGGGTTCAGGCAGTGGGTGACATCCAGGTAGGGGGTCAGTTCCTCCCACCTCCACCCTAAGGCAGTGACCCCAGGAAGCATATGCTCTCTTGAGCATCTGGCTTTGCCGTTTGGGTGCCTGGAAGGAGGTGGTGGCCCCTCGGGCCATGCTCCCGGGCCTGACCCTGCTGCTCCCCAGGGACAGTCTTGGCCGTGCTGGGCTCTACGGGAGATGACGGGAAGTTCCTGGTGGAGGACCACTGCTTTGCCGGGCTTGCCCCTCAGAAGTCCCCGTGGCCTCTCGACACAGACAGGTGAGGAGCAGCCACCCGGGGCTGGGTCAGTGGTCCCATCTCCCCTTCTCACCCATGACGGTGATGGAGCCCCACCAGCAGCTCCCCACGCCCTCCTGGGGGCCCCTTGCTTTCCCAGCACCCAGGGGGACCCCATCTTCTCCTGCAGGTTTGTGCTGCTGGTGTCCGGTCTGGGCTTGGGTGGAGGCGGGGGTGAGAGCCTGCTGGGCACCCAGCTGCTGGTGGATGTAGTGACGGGGCAGCTTGGGGACGAAGGGGAGCAGTGCAGTGCAGCCCACGTCTCCCGGGTCATCCTCGCGGGGAACCTCCTCAGCCACAACACCCAGAACAGAGACTCCATCAACAAGGTATGTCGCCACTCGCCCACATCCAAGCCCCTCCCTCCCCAAAACGGGTCTTGCAGGTGTAACAGGAAGTGCCCTGCAGTGACCCTGGGACTGCCCGTGCTTGGGGGCCTGACCTTGTGCTCAGGCCCTGCTTTCTGAGGACAGTAGGGAGGGTCATTGCCAAGAACTCTTACTGTCCCCCTGTGGGTGGGGCTCTGCTCTGCTCTGCTCTCAGCCCTCCTGGCAGGGACTCTGGGCATCCTTTCGATCTAAGTCTCCCTTGGAGCCCGACAGCCTACGTATGGGCTTCTCCTCCCAGGCCAAGTACCTAACCAAGAAAACACAGGCAGCCAGCGTGGAGGCCGTCAAGATGCTGGATGAGATCCTTCTGCAGCTGAGTGTGAGTGAGCTGGGGGCCGGCCTGGGCTCGAGATCAGAGTCTTTGACACTGCAGTGGGAAGGCAGGTTGGGGAAGGAGGACCCCAGTAGGGTGCATGTGGAGGATGCTGGGCCCTGCTAACTCCTCTGCCCTGTGCCCTCCAGGCCTCCGTGCCCGTGGACGTGATGCCTGGCGAATTTGACCCAACCAACTACACGCTCCCCCAGCAGCCCCTGCACCCCTGCATGTTCCCACTGGCCACTGCCTACTCCACGCTCCAGCTGGTCACCAACCCCTACCAGGCCACCATCGATGGAGTCAGGTAGCCGCACACCAGCCTGACCCCTGGCCTTTTGCTTCAGTGGCACCAGGAGGGGAGGGTTGGGCCCAGGGCTGCAGGGGGGCCCACCTGGAACTGGGCTTTTTCTTGAGGTTGGCTTGAGAACCCTGCCATGAGGGCACCAGGGGAGCTCTGGGCTGGCCGCTGTGGGAGGAGCACAGATGGCGGCCCCCCAGGATGGGGTCAGCCGAGCCTTGCCTTGCAGATTCTTGGGGACATCGGGGCAGAACGTGAGTGACATTTTCCGGTACAGCAGCATGGAGGATCACTTGGAGATCCTGGAGTGGACCCTGCAAGTCCGTCACATCAGCCCCACGGCTCCTGACACCCTAGGTAATGGGACTCAGATATGTGGGGTGGGGGCAGAGGGCCAGAGAAGGCCTAAAAGGGCTCCCGTGATGCTCAGAGGGCTCCCAGCGTGGATTTGCACCCACCAGCCTTGTCGGGACCTGTCTAAGGAAAAACGCCCCAAAGCTTGATGTTTGTTTTGGGAGCTACTCTGGAATCTTATCTCTGTTTCTGGCCAAGGCCCTGCTTATGGCCGAAGGCAATGGGAGCACAGTGGGAGCTTGGGCTGGTCAGAGCACTGTCCCCTGCCCCTGGGCCCACCCAGAGGGGCGAAGGCGGCAGCAGCAGAGCGCACTGGCTCTGAGGTCACGTGGCAAAGTCTAGAGGCGTTTTCGTCATGACATCATGCTGCCAGGGTCACACGTGCGAGATGGCGCCCCACGTCCTACATGGGACAGCCTCACCTAAACGTGCAGATGTCCCCTGTGCTGAGGCTGAGAAGTCCCCCTCTCAGCTGTGGGTCCTTCTTGTCCAGGTTGTTACCCTTTCTACAAAACGGACCCGTTCATCTTTCTGGAGTGCCCTCACGTCTACTTTTGTGGCAACACCCCCAGTTTTGGCTCCAAAGTCATCCGAGGTAAGTTTCGTCTCCTGGGGGCCCCAGGCCTGAGCTGTCATGAGATCTGCTCTCAACCGGGGCCAAGGCTCACAGAGTAAGCATCTGTTGGCGTGCCCAGGCCCTATTAGGGTGGATGCCCCCCGGCTCTGCCTGGTGGTGGCTGAGTGAGCGTGCCAGGCCTGGGCTGACATTGCCAAGCCAGAGCTCATTCTGGTCAGCGTGGCTTAAGCCTTGGACCTTTATGGTGTCCTTGGCCCTTTTCATTTCTGGTCCAAAGGAGCTTCTGGGGTCAGCGGTCCCATGATGCTGATGGGGAACTCCTGCTTAATTCTGGTGACTTCCTTTCAAGGAGGGCTCACGCAGAATCTAAGCTGGGCTCCCACGTGGCTTCCTTCCAGGCCCTGAGGACCAGACAGTGTTGTTGGTGGCTGTCCCGGACTTCAGCACCACACAGACCGCCTGCCTCGTGAATCTGCGCAGCCTG